GCCAACCAGCATCACAGGCTGACATGCGCATGCCCTGCATGTTCAAAGTCAACTCAGGATCCAAACATGGGCCCCATCATGCAACTTTAGCCTATGTCACCACAGGTGGGCCCTTGTAATGAATTTTTTTCTTTTCTAATTAGGTCTTTATTTTTCTCCCCAAATGCAATTTTTACATTTTTATTAATTCTTTTTATAAAGAATTATTTTATTTAACTTTATTTGACCAGAAGGGACAAAGTGAGAGAGAGAGAGAGGGAAAGTGAGAAAGCAAGTTGCCAGGTTCAGTACTTGAACCACAGTCAGCCATGTGGGAGTCTAGCGTCCTTAACCACCATACCACCTGTTGGCCCCATTTTTTATTAATTCTAATGTACTTATAGGAAAAGTGTTACTGGGATCTAATTTGTGTCTATAAAAACTGCAAACAAAATTTTAATATACAAAGAAATACTATGACCCTCAAATTGGGATCATTCCTATCATAAAAATGCTAATAAAGGTTGAGAAGACAGGACAGCATCCCCTTAGCTCTCCAATGCCAAATATCTGGGTAACCGTTTAGGTCCCCACATTCAATGGTTGCTATGGTGTGAATGGTTGTGTCACACCAAAATTCATATGTTGAAATCCTACCCCTCAAGATGGTGGTAGGAGGTAGGGCCTTTAGAAGGTGATCGGGGTCATGGAGATGGAGCCCTATGAGTGGAATTAGTGTACTTTTAAAAGAGGCCCAAGAGAGGCCTCCTTCCCTCTTCCACCATGAAAGGATACAGCAAGAAGGCATCAACTCTGAGCCAAAAACAGGGCCCTCACCAGACACCAAATCTGCCAGAGCCTTGATCTCAGACTTCCCAGCTTCCACAATAGAACTGTTAGTAGTAAATTGCAATTCTTTGAAAGCCATCAAGTCTGTGGTATTCTCTTATAGCAGTCATGAGGAAATACATTCTGTGACTTCTGGAATGCCATCCCATCACTTCTAGACTCCTTTTCTCACTTCCATATACACCCTCTGTCCTTTTCATTGAAGTATCTTATCAAGTGTCCTGTGATTGCCCACAAGACTGAACCAACCAAACTCTTCCACTGGGTTCCTCAAGAACTAGCTGTCTTCTCCATATTAAAAAATAGGTTGTTCTTGCATGTATATGGTATTCCATCTCCCTAGTTCTTAGAGTTTTACAAATTCATTGTTGCCTGTCCATCTAGGGACAGAGGCATGCTTTGGTATCCACAGTAGGTTAACTGGCAAACTCCTTTAATGTAACCAGTGAATGCATGTGTTGGCTGCGGGACAGCCTTCACATAGGTATGTATATATACATTTCATGGTGCACAGAGAATAATATCTAGAGGACAAATTAGTCATGACTCAGTTATGGTGTTAGAAGTATAACAACCTAGGGGAACCAGCAGTTAGCGTAATGGCTATGTCGCTGGACTCCCACGTAGTCGATCGTGGTTCGCATCCCAGACCCGGTGGCTTGAAACTCACACCGGGCGCATGTGCGTGCGTGCGTGCCTAAGATTCCGAGAGGAGAATGGAGGAGAAGGGATTGCAGCGTGACCATCCCCCCTGGGGGGTGATTTCTCACTTTCTGTCTCTATGTCTCTCTCTGTCTGGCGAGTGCACGTGCCCTATAGTGAAGACCTCTCAAAAAAAGAAAGAAAGAAAGAGAGAGAGAGAGAGAGAGAGAGAGAGAGAGAGAGAGAGAGAGAAAGAAAGAAAGAAAGAAAGAAAAGAAAAAAGAAGATCACTTTGCATCTTGAAAGAGATTCTCAGAGTAGGGGTTGGCAGAGGTGTGTGTGGTCCTACAAAGTGTAACAGCCATCAGATGGCCATCTGCCCTGGGGAGTGATTTCTTGCTTTCTGTCTCTCTCTCTCTCTCTGTCTGACGAGCGCACGCGCCCTATAGCAAAAACCGTTTCAAAAAAAAAGTAAAACAAACTAAGCAAAAAAAGCAAAAAGAACTAACTGGCTCAGAATTCAAAGAATAATAGCCCCACAAAGACATCCTAACACTAACTTTTTTTTTGGGGGGGGGAGGTTTTTGCTATAGGGCGAGTGCGCTCGTGAAATAGAGACAGAGAGACAGAAAGTGAGAAATCACCCCCCCTAGGGGGGATGGCCACTCCACAATCCCTTCCCTCCATTCTCCTCTTGGGATCTTGGGCACGCATGCACATATGCCCG